TTTCTACATTTAATTCAACACAGTTACAGGTACTCTTCGATTTAATCTAATCAATATTTTTCAACTCTTTACTTTCTTCATACTTAAAATGGCCTCTTTTCTTTGCTACAAGTTATTTGTTTCATGGATAATATCTTTTGGAACAATACGAATTTAGTGTTAAATTGAAAGATTGTCTTCTAGAATAATCAGTTCTCTTATATGAAGAATCAATATATTGACAATATTTTAACAATACTCAATAGTTATATTGAAAATTTTTATGTATGAGTAATCAGCACAGTAGCATCTTTGATACACTAATATAAATAGTTCCTTGATAGACGAAAAAATATTTTTTAGCTTTCAAACTCCTGAAGAAGAATACGAGAATATGAAAGAATTTATATTTGGAATCAACATAATATATTTATAGATTCTTCTAGAGTTTCATACGTATATCAAACCTGGATACTCTAAATATAAATTTGAAAAAAGATATAATATAACGAATGTCAAGCTACAAATATTTCTAGAAAGATGTTCTATACAGCATGAGTTAAAGCAAGAAAAATAAACTGGTATAATATTCTTGAAACAAGATGAAATTGATGTTTTCAAGCTGGAACTCGATAGGTTGTTTCATAATATAGGTCAGATATTGAACTCGATTCGACATGACTTTATGAAAATCATTTAGTTTAAAAATATTTTTATGAAATCACTCAGAAAAAGATATTAACTCAATCTCTTTGGGACTTATGTGTAAAACATAATTGACCTGTATATATTGTAAATTAATGGATTGTGCAATATATACTTCAGCTTGAGACTTTCACTATACTGATATGTCTATGATGAACACATGTGTTACGAAAGTGTTTATCGTGATCTATGAGAAGGGAGTCCAGATCTCTATCTATATACTTCAACATTTCTTTTATACCATTGTTCATAAAAAAAAGACTTTTTGTAGGTCTTATAAAATGATAATGTTTCTATTTTTTTTGGTGATATGTTTTTGAATCGTAATGATAAAAACAAATTTAAAAGATTGCTGATCACTTTGGAGTAGAGTTAATGATCATATTATGAGTTTTTTGGAGAAGTTCCTTACTGATTTTAGTTATGTGTATTCTATGATTCGTGGTGAAAGTTTAATAGAATAGATAAATCTACTATTCTTGGGTTAAATTATTGCTATTCATTATTCTTTAGTTAACGTCAAATGTTCTTGTGCTACCAGTTTTGACGTCAAAGTTTAAGCCTAATAATGATATGCTTAAACAAGTCAGGAAGTAAAGCAACAGATGTGCAGTATTGTTTGATTCCATCTGCTGAGTTTGTATGTCTGCTTCGTTCTTAATTTGTTCTAATTGATCTCTAAGATTGTTTTCATAAGCATTGATGACATTTATAATTGCTTCATTGATATTATTAGCACTAGGAGATTGAAGATATTGTTTCATCATATCAGATTTGTCTGCACGAGTATATGTTGCATATGATGGATTGTTTGTTACCTCTGAAATGTCAGAGAATTAGAATGAATATAATTTTATATCTGAAATTTGTGTCCAGAACACAAAATATTTTTAATACATTGTAACTGAGTCAAGAAAAATTGTAAAATATAGAAGGTTCTCTACATTATTTTCACTCTATGTAGAAAATAGCAGTTTTGATACATGACCAAAATCAACTTATGAAGTATTCTTTCTCAGTACAATTTGATAGAGTATTTTATCACTGTTGTAAAACGAAATAACCCGTCTTCAAGACATTTTATTCTATCGTATCGATTGCTTCAGTCACATCTTGTTTGTGAAGGTATATAGATAAAAAAAATATATTTTATCAACATCAATATTTGGCATGCATAAATTAGTGATTGACATTAAAAAATAATATATGTACAGTTCTATTGTAATGAAAAAATTATTTTATGACTATCATTTGAGGATGTCAATATGATTGATAATAAATTAAACAAGATTTCTTGTTGTCGTACGATTTATAATAGTAATTCTTTCTCTCTTGTCACCACGGCTGAATGACTACATTGTTCGACACGTATTCACAAGCTACTGTGTGTAAACCTCAGTATCACCAGCTGTAGAATGACTCTGGATAAGATACTAATGATTGATTGTCTCGGATCACTTGTTCAATAATATGCTGACTACATGATGCTAATGTGTATGATGAGTTCAAACAATTGAACGCAGCAACACTGTAGTAAGTCGATCTTCTATTGAGAGCTTTAAGCCATCAGAGTTGTAGAAAAGATATTGAATTATTGAACTTGTAGTTAGGCAGCACTCTACACCGCAAGGTATCTGAAAGGCAAAAATATTCTTCCTGCCTCTCTTTGTCTGAAAGAGATATAATAAGAACACAAGCACAATTATAAATACAAAACAGTGATGAAAAACTTTCAATTCATCTCAGTAAACTGATCTTATCTATGGCAAACTTAAATATATAATGTTCTAGAAAAAAAATAAGAGCTATCATTTCAAAAAAAAAAGAGACTTCCAAATGCTCTAATACAGTACAATGTTATAGTTATTATATTACTCTTGATTGAATATTTTCGTTTTATTTTTTTTTTTGAATAAGAATCAAATGTTATTGCATTCATCATATTTGCTAATTATCATTGTAATTTTGTAAAACTATTCATGTTGTTAAAATTTTATCACGAAGTTTACTGTTTGAAATTTATCTCTTGATATCTTGACAACTACTTGAATTAATTTTTTTCTGATAGTTTTATTTTTAAAAACTCTAGTATTACTTTCAAAGCTAAATAGAAAACTTGTGAAGTATTGGGGATCCCGAAAGATACGCACGGCGAAACTTGCGCACGGAGACTCTGAGGGCTCTGGCTGAGGCTGTGAAGTGCGGATGATGGTGCGGATGTAAGTGAGGGTGAGGGCGAAGATGATGGTGAAGGCAGTGAACTTGAAACGGTTCGTTCTGCTTTGAAACCCTCATTTTCCGTTCCGTGCGCAACTTTCGTCGTGCGCATCATTCGTAGACCCATTCAAATAAACAAGATTTTCGTCTCATCATTACAGTACACTAGAAAAAATGAGAGAGAAAAATCACAAGTGAGCTGTAGACAAAAAAAAAAAACCTAAATATGAGTTTTATGTCAAACTCACCTTAAGTCGAATGCTTTTTCTTTAAGAAAAACTTTTGTTTGCTGTAAGTCGAAGAACAGAGAGAATGTCTCTCGAAGAATTATTTTTTGAAAAAAAAAAACAATCTTTTATCTAATTTCACCAATTTATGCATCTCATTTCTTCTTATTATTTTGAAGTTATTCTCTTGACAGCTATTAGATCAATGTTATGTGGATGAAAGTAGTAAGGACAGTTTATGCATCGGAAGGTTGAATGATTGCGTGAGAAAATTTTCAAGTATGAACTTCTTTCGTTTGTTTTATTTCTTTCACACACACCTTCGTTCAATCTGGTAAAGTGACAGTCTATTGAACTACGAGAATTGAAAGTTCTTTTTCTTCACTTAGTATCTAATCTCAATGATAGATTTACTAGATAAAATAATGAATAGCTTGACTAACGTAAACAAATCTCAGCTAAGCTTTTTGTCAGGTAGCTATTTATAGACAGTGTTACTTTTTTATTCATTATATCAAATGACAGTTCTCTTTCTTTTAAAAAAAAAAAGTACGAAATTCATCTTTGCAATTATTTACGCACATATTCTTACAAGAAAATGGAATGCTATTGAGATATTCAAGCATGAGCGAATCTTTAATTAATTAACCTGAAAGAGAGTTTTATTGTGTAATAAATGATCAGTACAGAATGCATAAATGAAAAATATATTCAAAGTTATTGAATTATTGTTTTATAACAAAGTGTATTACATATTGTTAAAATATCGAAAAGAAATTTTGAGACTGATCAATAAACTCTAAATGATAGAAAAAAAATATATGAAGTTCATCTCGAATCTAAGACAAAATTATGATTATTAGTAAAATATAAATATTAGTTCATAAGAGGCATTATTAGCTAATAACATCTACTCTTTATTCATCCATGTTATGACTGTCATTCAGAGTTCTTTAAACAACTTTTTTAGCTATTCAATACTGAATACTGTGTTCTTTAAATCTCATACAATCTGTAGATAATTAATATACGGTAAGTTGCATTAAAAAAAATCTGCTTTTCTATTGATGTTCCGTCGACTAAAATAAACTATTTGATAAGATGAGTGTCACAAAATTAGCAAAATTATAGGATAAACAAAAGGCTTATAACAAAATATTAAGATTATACGAAATGTTTTTGATGGAAAACATCAAATATTGTGTAGATATTTCGCTTCTTTTAGATTAAATTTTCTCTCAGTTGTTATTTAATACACTTTCTGTTGAAAGAAGAAATTTTTTTCAAAATTTGCTTATGTAATCGGTAAATACGCGGTAATAATTCTATTATTTTAATTTGCAAGTGATTATCTTATAAAGATGCGTTTGTAACTTAAAACGACTTACAATAGATTTCTTCCTTCCATTTAATGATAATTATAGATAGAATCAAAGATTAAGATGAGAATATCAGAACATAATATCAAATAGAACTCATTACTCATAAAAATTTTTCTCGATTTATTTCAAATGTAAACAAAGAATCATCGATAAAATATTTGATAACCATGAAAATTAATTAACAATCAATCAAAACTCTTCTACTATATATTACAATTATTCCTACTTCTGATATAATTTAATTTTGTCATCAAAAATTTTCAAATATATTCACAAACTTAGAAGCATTTTAAAAACATTATCGAATTGATATTTCAGTGACATATAAGAGATAATCTTTATTAAATTAATGAAAATTTTCAAGAATATAACAAAGATAATCGTTCAATAAACATGAACGTGATATAGAATTACATTACAAATGTAGACAAATATACAATATCATAGAATGTTTTATAGAAATTTATACCATGGTAAAAAAAAAAAATTATCATTTTTCAGTGGAATAATTTTTCGATATAAATTTTTCGATAGCATTAATCAAAGCAAATACTGCATTCTGTTCACCAGCTTCAAGAAGACGTGATGCTTTATCACGTACTTTTTGTAAATATTTCTTGCTAACTTTGGTTAATTCTACTTTATCACCAGTACTTAATACCATATAGAGAAGACAATTCCATTGTTCTTTGGTTAAACCTTTGTTAATAACGATCTTCTCGACTTTATCATCAAGAAGTCTATTACCAGTAACACCATTATGTTGTTGTAACTGTTGTCGTATGTTATAATGCCAATCATTTTGATTTTGAAGTTCGGAGGTAATAACAGTACGTTTAAATAAATCAAGAAGTTGAGCAATACATTCAAGACATTCATTCAATTCGATCTGTTGTGCTTGCATGCCAGCTTCACGTTCCAATCGTTCTAATCTATCTCCAAGATCATTTTCATAACCAGTAATACTATTGATGATGCTTTCATTATCAATACTTTTGTATGTATTTTGAAAAGATTGTTTCGTCTTAGAAGACTTGTTTGCGTCATTATACTTTGGATAGGACAAATTTTGAGCCATATTTGATAGGTCAACGAATACAAAGATATCTAAATTTAAATCTAAAATAAATATGAAATGTAACGTAACTTTTCTGAGATACATAAAATTAAACATTAGATACTAATACTTTTCATGATTCGACAAGTACTACTTAGCTCTTATATTTTAAAATAAAAAAATATGCTGTCGTCACAATAATTGATTTTGTTCGTTTTTAGTATTTATGCTATATCTACTGTTTATAACAGTTCTACTGAAATTATTTTGCATAAATAATGTTTATCATGAGTAAGAGTGTTTCTATTAAAATAATGTATATGTATAGTGAATTATTGAAATAGTTCTATACGTCATGAACTGTCTGAACAAAGTGACCTGAAAATTCTCAAATCGTATGATAATTAAATCGAGAATAATCTGAGTTTTTCTTTTGTCTTGCGAATATTTCAGAGGCAAAGAGTAAAGATATTACGAAGTTGAGTCAAAATTACTAATTCTTCTTCTCATTCAGATATAATAAGAATTCAAGTAAAAAATTACGTAGGTCATATTATGTTCATACATTTTTATTACTAAAAATATATTTTATGCGAATGAAAGTATTGTTTACATGTGAATTAAACATATTTTTTAAAATAATCTAAGCAGTTATTCTATTACGCCTATAAACGATTTATAACAATAGAATTTATTTAGTCTATTATTTGAGTAAACAAATAATTAGAAAAAAAAAAAAAAGAATTCAAAGTCATTCATTAAATCAAGACTAATACCTACGAACTATTATAACGTAATAAAGAAAAAAGAAACTAGCACAAATCTATGAGTTGTCAAAGGTGACACAAACCTTAGGAATACACCTTGTCTCGATCTAGCTGTGCTTTAGATATGTTCTTAAACAACACTATTTAATTACAAAGCGGTAAAGAATGAAGAAAAGAAATGAATAACAACTATCATTTAAAATAAGGAAAGGTTTTCTTTTTCTATCCAATCCGTTCTTTAATCTCTTTTTGCTTCTTTTTATTTATTTTGGAGTTTCTCGTTTGACAGTTATTAAAATGACACTACGTTGACAAGAAAAGGAAAGTAAGCCTCTAACGGCGCACAAGATAATTATATGAAGAAAAAATCCAATGGTTGATTGTCCTTTTTTTTCTTACAGTTCCATACTACATATTTCAATCTTTTGATATGACTTTTTTCTGACAGATGATAGTTCACGAGTTCTTTTTTTTATACTCACTGGGTAGTCTCATTTAAAACGCTTTGCATAACATGACGATTTTACCGTTGAACAGATAAATCTCAACTAAAATTTCTTTTACATTATTTTTATTCTTTTTTTTCTTATCAGACATACTAAATAATACTTCTCCTTTTTGATAAGATTGATAGTGCTTTTCTTCTTGTTCAACAAAACGAGTTAGCATTTAGCGTAAATAGTCTTATATGGAATTATATTGTACGGGTACAAATAGAACCATTGGATGTTCATTGAAGCATGAAATCTTATAAAATGTGTTTCTTTTCAGAAATTATTTTAGAAGTCTATGTTTATTTGCAAAATATTTTGAAGATCGTTTTTTTTGTCATCCATGATTATGTAGCTTTTTTGAACTCGTTGCAGTTTTTTGCACATCAATGCATCCAATGAGATGCTTGTCTGTAAGAAATGTATAGAAACACAATTTTTCAGAATAACATGAGACGTCATACATGTTTCTTGTCTTTACAACTAATTACACGCATTAGTCACCTGTCTCTATACAAAACATAGGACTCTTGTTGAAATATATGAAAGCTACTCACATTTATCTACAAGATGACGAGAAATTTGTTACAACTTGCATGTCAACGAGTGAATGTCATGTTCATGTAAATTAATACTGAAGTATTTCTACATTCAGATGTAAAATTTTATTCTTTTGTAGTGTAAATGTTATCTCATGAAAGAATTTAGTTTCTACTGCGTCATATCTTTGTTTATTTCTTTTAAAACTGAACTTGCTCTTCTATAAGTATATCGCACTATCTCAAGAAAAAACAGGTACATTTTTTCAAATTTTGAAGAATTGTTCATATGTACGTACGTACGTATCTGAAAGTTATTGAAAGCCTATCATGCATGATATGTTTCGAATGTAACTTTCATATATGGCGATAGTTTAATTGTGAAGAAGCTTTATTTTCCTAAACGAAAGTATGTATGATAGAATCTTATGCCTGGAAAGAAGACTTTTGTGTATTCAAGCTTGTTGACCAGAATTACTTTTTTCTTTTTGCCCATTTTAGTATTTTCTCTCATAATATACACAAGGATTCTTTTCATCATCAATATGTGAGTTTTCTACAAGAATGTTTATATGTTCTCGCAATGTAATAATATTAACCGTATATACAGATCAACTATCATGTATGTCATCATATAACGATTCATGTATGTACACGCAGGTTTATTGCGTGGTTATATGTATGCTTTCATACTGACGGGTTACAGGCCATAAAGTATTGCTAAAAAGTGACTTGACATCACTTCGTTCTTGTGTTATTTTAGTACAAGATAAAACGATTAATTCGAAGTTTCCTGACTAATCTTATTTGCATTTAAGTACACTATTTAGAATAAATATATTTCATAACCAATAATCATTGTTTTCAAGAGAGAAGTCCGTATCTAACATAGGAAAAGAAATTAAAAAAAAAACCATACAATGCATAACTGTATAGTCTGTCACATAGTATAACTAACTATTGACTTGAATAATCAAATAATATACGCTCACTCGTACATAAAAAAATACAGCAATCATTGTATCTTAATAAACAGAATAATGTCAATAAGAAAAAGGATCTTTGTTTTTACAACTTTTCTACTTGGTGGTTACTATTTCGAAAGCTTTACATCACCAAAAATTGATCAATTGAAGATCATTAGTTCATAGTTCATTATATCATGAAGTTGCAAAGTGCATTCAGTAGATCCAATGGTATTAAATTCAATATGTGCTTCAGTGAATATTGTTGACAATGTTTGACGAGCTCCATGAGAGATTATATTGCAAATTCTCATTATCTCCTATTATCATTGGCCACTACGAGACAAAGAAGGAAAGTATTATTTTACATAATGTTATATTATCCATTGGAAGCTATAAGTATACAGGGGGTGGTCCATAAATAACACAGCGAATAGAAATATAAATATCTCCATCAGATGATGACCAAACGATCTGAAGTTTTTACCAGTGATAGAGGCATATTCAAAGTTTATATTCATAAAGACATGTCTAGAGGAACCCTTTGTTAAGTATATTGTTTTTTCCTATCTGTGAAAAAGTAAAACTCTTGTGTTGAGGTCAATAGTGATGCTTAACAAAGGATCTCTCTAGGCATGTCTTTATGCATATAAACTTTGAATATGTCTCTATCACTGGTAAAAATTTCAGATCGTTTGGTCGACATCTGGCGGAGATATTCAAATTTCTTATCGCTGTGTTATTTATGGTCCACCCTGTATATCTTTACCAGCCATTGTATAGCTTCTCTAACTAGAAAAGCTTTTAGAGCATTTCTTACAGGACTGAAATGTGAAGCACGATATAGTTGGTCTTGATAATTACAGAAAGATTGTTTTATTCTATCTATTTTGTAACATATTTCTTCACTATCCTTTTACTTAGTCCTATAGACATGTAATAAGCAGATAGTTGATACATTATGATGATACGTTATTAATATGTGGTCTGTGATCAAAAAGAGACGTTATTAAGGATCTCTGTTATATCTGTAGGTGAAGGGGGACGAAAAATTGTATCCCTATCATTCAACACCCTATTTAGATCGTCTTTCATAAAACAGGTCTAAACTTTCAATTTTAGTATTTTTATTGTTTAATGCGTATGATCCACTAGTAGATCCGAAAATTATGAGTCAAAACAAGAATATTTTTTGAACAATTTTGACTGTAGTTTAGAAACAATCACTTTCAGAAGCGCTATCCTTAATAAAAATGATGCACTGATTTGTTTATCACACACTGCTAATTTCTAATTTATTTCTATTTAGCGGAAATCTACTTTTGTTTTACTGTTTGATGCATTGCACTTCAATGACTTTGAATACATAGAAATAAGTTCAATCTAGTGTTAAGTAACTATATTGTAAAGCAATAAAAGTATATTACCGTTATTTGTAGCCATTATTATATCCAGGTATATTCTGTTCATTCATGAGAATGTTAAAAAGCTTTCTTTCATGACATACTATTATTCTGTTTTGTATTTACAAATATCCAAGAATATAAAAATGACACCACAGATTTTTTCTTTTTGTATTATCGATAGTTTATTTGTTATCGTTGAGCAGTTGTGAACTTTACACGGCTTTGACGAGTGCTTGCAGTTTCTGGTGCTCATTCATTCACGTACTTTGACACAATGTCAGTGAATTGTGTAGAAAGGTAATATGAATCCATTTTCTTATGAGTGCATGACTAACCCATATTTACATTTAAATTCCGGAGACAACGCCATGGGTTATTAGTAAAGTAATGCGGATGGACTTCTTATCAATGTTTTTGAACAACTATGGTTCATATTAACTGGACATACTATCATCTAGAAATGATGAAAACGGTCTCGTACATTCATGAATCAATTAACTTTGACTGTTGATGAGGATGATTTCGATAAAATAGCTCTTTGACAGAAGATGTCAAATAAGAAGGATGTTAATTCAACGGCAATTAGTTTAACTATTTTCATGCTTCCAATCAATTATCTCTTGTTTAGCTTATTCCATTGTATCGTTAGTGTTATTTATGATGCGTGATCATTTCCTACTGTATTCTAACTGAACAGCAAGCTGTTTGACGTTTGTCATCATATCAATGACGGGGATGTTTTCGAGCTAAACTTTTTACAATATATTTCAGATCGATGTAATAAGAGAATTTCATCTACGTATGTTGTACAGCAATATTCCGAGATCATATATAACTGCTGCAATTCAGTCGAAGATGTAAAATTATCCAATATGTAATGAACTTAGTAAAATAATTGTTCGTATTACATCTTTTGATCTATTTGACATCTACACAGTATGATGTAAGTTATTCATATATATGAAGTGCATGCATTTGTTGGAGAAAAAGACGGCAATAGAGCATAATGACCGTGTGGAAATGGACCGTTCATAATATCAATATAGAGAAAAAATAAATCATGACGCAGGTGATGCTTTTCGCTACACTAAACTTCAGGCAATCTTAAAATTGGAGAAAGACAAGGCAATTGAACCGATATAAGCTTTGCAGTAATCAACATGCAGCAGACTAGATCAAATAGTTGTTATTTTATGACGAGTGACATCAGAATGATTGATTTATTCTAGATCTAGACTTGAAGCTGATATCAGACTAGTCAGTTGTTTATTACTTTTCTAGAGTACTAAAATGAGTATATTTATGTTTGTTTTTGTTGATTTTCATGATTTCAATGTTCGATAAAGATAATTTCAAAAAGCTCAAGTCAATTATTTTCTAGTCGACATCGAAATGTCAGTTCAAAATAGTCCATCTCGGCATTGCTTTGAATATTATTGGTAATTGTTCATTTTTCTTGTAGAGTAAATTATAAAGCTGATAATTAAAATAATTTTTCTTCAATGAGCATGTCATTACCTATATTTACGTATATCATTTTATCGTCCTTCAATATTCTTTTATTTTGATAATAAGTTCTCAGTGTAAATCAATCAATGGAACAACTTCATTTTATATTAGTGAAAAAAATAAGTATAATATTAGAAAATCAGTCATTCATTATTATAACAATATTAATGATGATGATAATAACAATTCAAAGTCAAAAAAAAAAGTTGGTTTTTAATAGAATGTTCTAGATTTTATAAACAAAAAATTAATTGTTTTTCTCGTGTATTTCATAATCCTGTAGAATTGTCATTAAACAAAAACCAAAGTTTCATATAGATGTATGATTATCATTTTGATTGATGACACACATCGAAGCAATAATTAGTAATAATGTTTGCTAGCTTACTTTGATTCGTTTATCACCAACTTTAACTTCTTTCATTTGAGTTGTATTTTTTCCAAGCCAAACGCATACAGAAAAAGAATCTATCTGATAAGATGAATCTTTTCTTTTGTCATCTAACCATTTGAAGATTTCACTAGCATATGGAGTGTAATCGAAGTAGAATTTAACATTTGATAAGTGTTGAAATCGTTCAATAATATTTTTAATCTCATTGAAAGTTTTTACTGATGCCGCCAATTGTTTGATATGCATTGGTAAAATTGAACAAATTTCAGTAGCAGTTAAACTTGATTTTCTACTAAAGAAACCGGAACAAATATCGACTGAAGCAATACGATATGTTTGCTTAAGAAGATTAGCCATATCACTCAGCATATATGGATCAGATTTCTGAATTAATGTACTTGAAATTTTGACTTCAACAACAGTTGTTAGATCGATAAGATTCGAAATAAATTTAATCCAATCATGAGGTCGAGTTTTAACAAATTCAAGTTCAAGTGTCTTTACTTTGCGAAATAATGGATAATTTATTTTGTTTTCCTAGAAATATAAAACATGAAACAAGTCTTATGCTTCAATTCAAGACATTGACTAATCTTAAGCGAATGCAGAGAATATGTGCTTCATGTTTATTTAGGTGAAAATGTTGATTTAATGTAAAAGCTCTTTTTCAAATGAATTATTGTTCAATTTAAAGTATATTTGCAATTTTCCTTCAATATAACTTATGCTACATAAAAACTCTCATGACAAAATCTTATATACCTTTTCTTCTGCATCCAAAGGCAGCAATGTTGTGAAATCTAATCTAACTGTACGCACGTTATCCATTATAGATATATCCTTATCATGTATTTTTGGATATGTAGAAATTGAAACTTTCTTTGTATGGTAGGAAAAGAAAGGTACACAAATTGGTATTGAATACAATGCAACACATTCTGGTGTATTGATATCAAATTCACATGTAACAAACCATTTTTTATTTTCTAACCAAAATGGTGTTTGAAATGATGCTATAGTTAATTTAATATCTTCGATATTGTGCTGAATATGTTGTATTTGATTAAAGAAAAATCTAAATTCACTTAATAAAGGTAAATGTAATTGAATGAAATATTCCCATCGATTACCATCATGATAATTTCCATCACCAACCACTGTCAAATGAATCAACGAAGATGTCAATGAAAGAAACAATTCGAGATTATCAATTCCTGTTTCCAATTTCTCGAATGTTAATGAAGTTAATTGTCGAAAAGGTGTCGTGAGTGAAGGTGTGAAGATAATTTGGTTAGAATTTTGAAAAAAAAAAGAATTTATCATTAGTGTTTTCAAATGGGGCGAACAACTGAGAATAGTACAAAGTCGATCAAAAGCAACTACGCTAGTAATTTTCAAACATTGAATTGAGTATTGAGCTGGCCAAATTATTTTTTCGAGTCGACCTGCTTGAATATCGAGTTTGAGCTTTAAAAGATTTGATTTTGCAATAATTAATGATAGATATCGTGCTGTTGTTGTTTTACGTCGATCATCAGATTTTTCAATTTTAAGTGAGAGTGATTCAAGTAAACGAATATTCCATTGTCTTGCAATCAATTGCAATTTTTCTTCTCCAATTATAAAAAGAGACAATGAACGTAAATAATTAAATTGTTGAAGATTGAAATATGAAAAAAATAATTTAATTTGATCGGGTGCTCCTTCATTTTCACGAAGTGTCAATGATGTAACCTGTCTAGGATTAATTAAGTAACAAACACGTTCGAAATCGGATTTTGAAATTGATTCAAAATTGAGACTATATCGATCATAATTGTTAACAATTGCTCTAAATCGTCGACAGATATGACGAAACGAAAATAGTATTGTTTGTGCATCAAGATCATCGAGAATATGATAAAGAATTTCAACGGGTAAAGTTTCTAGTGATGAAATCAAGCTAGTTGGCATCAAAGCGTTTTGTTAGAATATTTTCGTCTGAAATAAAAAAAAAATATACAAAAATTTTTGTTAGTAGTAAAGATTAGTATGTAACGTATGCATTGTACGTATGAAAATGGTCGAAAGAAAAAATAACAAACGAAAGAATAGTGAAACAAAGCAGACACAAAAAAAAATGTCGACAATAATTATGACGAATACAAAAAATTTCAGTCATATAAAAATGGTAAGAAAAAACTATATTCTCCTTAAAAATGTCGATAATGTTCCAGATGTCATTAAGGAAATCTATTGGTCAGTAAGATGTAGAATTTGAGGTCAGAGATAAAGCGAAGATCGATGGGAACACTTACACTCAACCTGCGTAAAAAAAAACAATATAGTTTTGTCGTTGATTTTTTACCTGAGTATTTCGGTCCGCTATTATTTTGGTTGGTCTATTTAAGCATCGACTATATTTTTATGCGCAATAAAATATCTTCATCTCGTTGATTGAGGATATTCAAGTATATTTATTCGACAAATTCATATGAGTGCCAGTTTTTTTTTGCTATAAACTATTTCACTAGTTTTTTCTCGATCTTTTTTTCGCCAGTTTTTTCACGATTCTTTCGTTGCCTATTTTTTTTTCAACCAATTTAATACCGTTTGTGCATTCGGACCGTCAAAACAAATCTTAATTTGTTTCTTCTGAATAGCATAATATAATGAAGAACGTAAAGAAAAGAGAAAGGTGGAAAACGTACCTCTGACGGTGAGACACGTTGCAAATAAATAAGTTACTTGTGAGTAATGAGTCAATGATATTCAAAAATTACAACGTATAAACAAACTTTTCTTGTTTGTTAGATTGTTATCTAGCGAACACTTGTCGACAGCGGTCTTTTTTCTTCTAATATGAATAAAATGTATCAGATATGACGTATTACTTCTAAAATCCAAAAACAATCATTCTTTTTTCATATTTTGATAAAGTAGCACGTTTTTTTTTTAATGCAGTAGAACAATTACGTTTGTGTATTAGAAAATAGTAATTTAGTAAAGACATTTTTTATGTTTGTTCTAACGAATGCTATATTCTGTCAAAAGACGTTATCTAAAGTGGAAAAATATATTGATCAATATTAAGTTCGACTGATAGTTTCATAGTTCGTGCAATGTTGACATTTCTTCGTCTAGTTATAATAGTATCGTATTTGGATAAAAATGAAGATTCATAAATATGTAATGTACTTACATAAAGATCAAGATAACTTCGATGATAATTTACAATGTCTGTATTATTTAGACTGTCCGTGAGATTCATACGATCTCGCATAAAATATGTACAATTGATCAACCATTCAATGTATGATTATTCTTACACTTTATTCATTATGAAAAGTTTGCGTAAGAATATTTTTTGAGTAAAATTAGAAATGAGAAGAAACGTGATCATATGGTTATATAGCTTTAGTCGATGTTAATATATCAAGCATTAGTACTAAGAATATTTTCTTCTTTTGTCAAATTTTTGAGAAAAAAATGGGAAAAAAGACAACAAACAAAGCTAATGAAAAGTTCAAAATCCATATTCTAAATAAATCAGTGTGATTTTGAAGAACATTCTATCAATAAAAAGTGTAATGCCATTGTTTCATAGATTCATGACTAAGATATGCATGTATAATTAGTTAATCAAGATGAATATATGGAATTCAATAATTAACTTTCTCAATACTTTGGTAAATCCTTTACATCAGAAAGAAAGTATAATTATAAATCTAATTCATACCTCATTGAATAAATACTATTAGATAGTTATAAAAATTGTTTTTAATATAAGTGAAAATTTTCATATAATTAATATCGAGAAACATCATTGTGAATAATTGAAAAACAAAATCTCATCAATAAATTTATTTTACTAGGAAGATCAAAGACTAGAGACCTGCGGGAACAACTTTTTTTGGTTCCCGTTCCGTATTCCCGTTCCCGTAATGCTTTGAGAATAGCTACAAGGATTTCATTATTCACATTCATCAACACTATTCCTACCTGATACTAGCTTTTAGCGACATCATGTTTCTCACAATACAAGATTCCGTATATTAAAAGTAAATTTCTGATTCAAGACTCATAAACCTATTGAAACTTGAAACTTGAAATTTCAGTTGAAACTTGAAACTTGAAATTCCAGTTGAAACTTGAAACTTGAAATTTCAGTTGAAACTTGAAATTTCAATTGAATTCAAGTTTCAAGTTTGACATATATGTAATCTTGATGATCCCAACTTCGATGCCGACGACGACGATGGTGGTAAAGAATATCGTGATTCTCATAATCTATGTTTGAATGAACTTGTCTGATTTTGTTGACTGATATTTGTTCTCTTTTCAATTATATTTCAAATAGTTATTGGAAATCGAATACTGTAAGATAAACAGATTTTAATGCAAACAGAAATCGGACATAGGGTTTGCCGGGAACAGAAATTTTTAATACAATTCCCGTTCCCGGAGTGTCCACCAGAATTCCCGTTCCCGATTCCCGCGGGAAACGGGACGGGAAAACACGGGGAAAAGTCGTTCCCGCAGGACCCTATCAAAGACTTCTGAGAATTTTAAACAGGATCATGCCGGGTCTGGTAACCTATCCAGAATTAAAAAACCAAACATACTATGTTATAGAGCAAGCTGAGATGCGTCGAATGGTATATCAAAAATTTTGTTTCCATAAGATTTTGAGAGAACCAATCTGGATTTACTGGTAGACGCTCATGGATTCAAAGACTCACCAACAGCCATTACCTGTGGAAAACGATGGTGGATCATCGAAAAGTTGCATTTTTTCCTATCAAAGATAGGACGAGCGGAGATGCTGAGTATATGAGCTTGTAGCCCGTGAAAAGTGCTACAAAACTGTATATAAGAAGATTATTTTTACAAACACTTTCGACTGATACCAAGGCTCACAATGGTCGGCTACCAGTAAAACCATTTTGATTCCCTCAAAATCTTATGAAAACAAATTTTTTTATATACCGTTCGACACATCTCGGCTTGCTCTATAACATGGCTTGTTCTGTTTCTTTTTAAATCTGAATAGATCATCAAATCCAACACGCTCTTTTTTAAAATTCTCAGAACTTTTTGATCCCCCTATGTAGATACTTAAAAAATTGATCAAATCAAAATATGGTAGATCTTAAATCCATATAATGACACAATATGTTTTTTATCATATATGATTGATAAGTATTTGAAGACTTGATTCTAGTTTGATGTAAAATAAGTTAATAGAGAAATTATATCTTTCGAGTAGATGTTTTCAATTGATCTATCGTTTCTTTGTTAACGGAAGCTAATGGATTAGAGAGGTTACCAACCACTAGACCCTAGCAGATCTAAAATTTACAAACCTGACCCTGACTAGGTCTGGGTACGAAATCAACTCGATGGACTCTATCGATCATACTAATTTTAAATATAACTATAGGGAAATCATCTTATGTTTTCATGTGCTGATTTTTACAAACGAATAAAACTTTCACAGGAATTTTTTCTGTTTCAAATCAATTTTTTTATTTTTGTAGAAAATGGAATCATTTAAACTCAAACATTATATACATATAAATATTTCAATATGAAAATCTGTATGATATGAAACTTATTTTGGACAATAGAAAAGATCATTGCCTTGTAGACAACTCGATATCCTCTATAATCTGTGTAGGTCAAAAACGATTTTAGCAAAATATTTGTAAATCTGAAAAACCAGCATATAAAAACATACGAAGAATTTTCATGGTTATATTCAGAATCAGTACGGTTGATAACCTAGATTGATCAATTGAAAAAGTTTCCTCGTTAGTAGATCTTCGAAATATTCTGTAAATCAAATGCTTTCTCCAGAAATAATGTAATAAACGAATCGTATTTTTTCAGCATATAATAATTTCAAAAACAGTATCTCTATCAAACAATCATGAATGCGCATATTCTTATTGATATAGATTGTCTATATTAAAAATTTGAACAAGTTTACATGAATGTGTACATATCTGTATATATATATTAATACTTCTTCTTTCGTGTCCTCTCGAGTACACATAGTGTATACGCTTATAAAAAAAGCCAACTTAAACAAACTACATACACACTTTAATACATATATATATACAAATGAATCCCATAAGGAAAAAAAATAGAAGTCTCTAGTTCACAAACAATAATAGATAGATAGATAGATAGATAGATCTAATAACTGTACAAGAGTTAAATTTTCAACTGAAACAAGAAAAAAACAAAAAATAGAAACAAAATCACACATACACACAGTTCAAATTAACTGTTGAAAAGGAAAATGTTGTGCTGGTTGATGATTAGATAACATAAAATAAGGTGGTGGTGGTGGTGGTGGTTGTGGTGGCGGAGCAGTAGGAATCCATTGAGTAAAGGGTGTTGGTGGTGATGATGAATAAAAAATAGGAAGTTTTGGTGATGATTGTTGCTGTGTAGACATTAGATTTTGTCCAGTAGGAAGATAAACATTAGGACCATTTGATGAACAATTCATGGGATCGACACAAACACGTGGCATCATTGAAACTGGATGAAAGCCTAATAAATAAATCATTAATAAAAGAGATTATAGTAAAATTATTTTACCTGAAACAGGTTGTTGTGGTCCTGGACCAATTACTGAATGTGGTGGAGACTATTTTAGAATGATAAAAATTTTAAGTAAAGTTTTATTTAAAAAAAAAAAAAATTTACCATAATAACAAATGGAGTTTGACCAGCAAAAAGTCTAAAAATAAAATATTCAAATTAGAACTTAGTGTCATTAGATATTTTCAACAACAAAAAAAAAAATACAAACTTATTCGATGAAACATCATTCATCATATTTTGTTGTATTTGTTCATTGATTAATCTTGGTGAAATTGGTTGTGGAAAAAATACAGTCGGTTGAATATATTGTTGTTGTTGTTGTTGTTCACCTGATGGTTGTTGAGGATATTGAT